ATCGATAAGAATGGAGACTATTTCATTTAATAAATGTTTTATTTTGATATATAAGTTGTTCGGGTTTTTTCATCTAAAAAAAAAAAGCGACATCAATTTCTTGACGACCTAATACAACTATACACGTAAACACGAAATGTCCTAATGGTGGTTAAATGTGTCATTTTTAATTAACTTTTATCGTCAAAAAATGTATAAATTTTTGCATATTTTCCAAGTGCACAGCATTAATAGTAGATAATTCTTGGTTATCTTTGCAGGAACAGCAGCTTTACGATCTAAAACATGTTTCGAGTTTTTCAAACAACATATAGGCAGGTTTCATTCTTGTTACTATGAGTTTTTACTGTTTAAATTACAAAAGTTTCATTGCTGTATACCAAACAAACGATGTGGATATAAATACAAGACAGAATGTTAAAAAAAAGAGCTCAACTTGACAAATACTCGAACATCATCAACATAATCTCTCTTTTTCTGTGCTTAAGTTTTACTAAAGTAATGCACTCTCAGCTGGCAGTGCTCCAGAGAGAAACTTAACAGCCAGAAGTTGTGAAGGAAAGTATATAAATCATTCAAATTGAACAAGAGTCACAGCAAATCAGGTAAAATGTGCTTACGTTACTTAAAGTTTATCGTGCATGCTAGAAAACTGGGATGTTTGTGTCGTTTTCTCAAGGATCAATTATTTTAGATTCACGACACTTAATGGTCTTTCCAGTTTCTAGTTGAAACAATCTGAATTATTTATTTTATTCGACTTCCTTTGATATCTTATTTTTATCCAGTCTTTAACGAGGTTTTTCCTTATAACTTTCAATTGGTCTGTTCTCGTACATGCTCTCAGAATGGTGTACAATTGTTGTCGACATTCATTGTTCAACGATCTTGTGTATCTGTCCTAATACGATTTTAAGGAATATTTTGTTGTTGAAAAACAACATCACAACGGAATCCGTCTTCTCGGTGATACGTAATCTTCAATCACATTTGGAAATTGTGTTAGCATGTCGAATTTCACGTAAAGCTATTCCAGAGTTACTGCGCCACCGTCCCTAATTTTGAAGTGCTAAACTAGAATAGCGTTTCTCAACCTTTCCAAACGGCTTGCTGACTCCCTAGACTGTTGCGAAAAACCATTACGATTTACATATGAATATTATTTCAGTTTGTTTGTTTTTTCATGAAATTCTACGGATAGGCAACGTGGTTGAGAAGGACCGGTGCCGATCTGCGGACAGATTGTTGAGAAACACTGGACTAAAGGGAGGTCAGCTAATCAATACCATACACCGCCAATCCTTGAGCTACTATTGTCAGACTGTATAGTTGGATTTCACCGTCACTGTTATAATGCATCCACTCCCCCAAGTATGAAGCACGCTTTTTGTTTCTTTTTCGCGATAATAGGATTCGAACTACGAACTACAGATCCACAGCTAACCACTGAGCTACGCTCGGGAAAAATACTCTTACTAACACCCGAAATATGAACGTCTTATAAGTGGTTATGTATTCCTAATAATGCCCTCCCACGGTGGCTCAGCAGTAAGTTTGAGAGCTTTATATATTAAAAAATCAGATTTGGATAATTGCGGAGGGCAGAGCACAGATAGCCCATTCTGTAGCTTTGCGCTTAACAACAAACAAACAAACAAGTCCACATAACAAACTAGTGGATTTTACAAAGTTGACTTGAATAAAATTTACCAAACAAACGCGTATTGACCAGAGAATGTCGACTAGGCTAATATAATTTTAGTATACTTCAAATGTGTGCAGCTAATAAAACTTTTATTAATCCTGCACGTTTCGGTATATTTGGGGATAGGCGTGTGTGTGTGTGCGCGTGCAACACTAGATGTTCATAAACTAGTGAATAAGTCTTTAAAAAAACCTGATTGAATGTAAAACTATTTCTAAACGTGAGGTGATACGTATAGTTTAGTCCTTTTTGCTTCATATTATTTTCATAAAATCTTGTTGCTCATGATGCTTAATATATTTTAATTAATATTACATTAATGAAATTATTTTGCACTTTATTGACTTGGGAGGTGGACTTAAGACAATCCTAAGGCGACCAAACCTCCTGAGTTTTTACTGGAATTATGGCCGAAATCATCGTTGACAACGTGAGCATATATTAAACTGTTCATTCAC